TATTTTCAGTGGAAACTTTCCTCTTCTTGTGCCTCCTCCCCACACAAAATCTTTTGCCGCCCCCGCTCCCCATGGCAACCTTTTCTTTCCGGGTGGGGGATTTTTAGCTGGGGGACGAACATTCCAAACTTTTCGAGGAAAAATTCATGTTACTGAAACATTGTGATGGAAAAGTGTCCCCCCACCCTCTTTTCGAGGTCATTTCCGCCTCTTGAGCTAAAATAGCTACACAGGCTTTTGACGGCTGGCTGCTGTGGGCAGCCCCCTCAAAGACCATTGATTCTCCGAGCCCAGACAAAAGCAGAGGGTCAGGATCTAGGCACAAGACCACTTGCACTGGCTCTGTTTGGCTCCAGATTGGAATTTTCTGCCTAACTGAGTTAGGATCTGCATTGAATCGGAGTTGGGTCGAGCACCCAACTCTCCTGGCACTTTTCCAAACGAAGATCACAGCTGGGACAGAAAGTACAAATTATTCAGCCGTTCGCCAAAGCCCAGGCCGTGGTCAGAAGTGGGGATATTTCAATACAGACAATATTTCCTGATAGAAGAGGTGTCGGTCATCTGAGCTCAGACACAAGGACGGTGCCTTCACACCCAGCTCCCTGCCGGTCACCTTTGCTGGCTATGGCTGAGGAGGGAGTAATCTACACTTATCTAACCCACCCGGCAGGCTCCCTGTCCAGCGACACGCCAGCCCCAGCTCAGCATCACAGTGAGTGCATTTCACTTTGTGGCGGTGTTTCAGGGGGGTGGATTTTGGGAGGCTGGGATTCCATTTTTGCGACTGTAATGTTGATAAATAGCAGGTCTAGCGATGCACTAGGGTTCAGATCCCCATCTGGGGTAAGCGAGCACAGCTTCATTGACTTCAGTGCATTAACTCTGGATTTACATCAGGGTCACAGAGAGCAGAATTTGGTCCTCACTCCACTGACTTCAGTGGGGCTGCTCTGGATTTACCTCTGGTCACTGAGATCTGAATCCAGTCCTGACCCCATTCATTGCAGTGGAGTCACTCTGGATTTGGAACAAAGTCACTGAGATCTGAATCCAGTCCTGACCCCATTCATTGCAGTGGAGTCACTCTGGATTTGGAACAAGGTCACTGAGATCTGAATCCAGCCCTGACCCCATTCATTGCAGTGGAGTCACTCCGGATTTGGAACAGGGTCACTGAGATCTGAATCCAGCCCTGACTCTACGAAAGAAAATAACCTAAAGACAATCTAATGTCTCTTTCAAATCAGCTTCATCAAACCCAGCATCCAAAACGCTAAAATGTGTTCATCCTAATTGTATATGTATCTCATGGCATCACTACAGGGCAGAGTTAAGTTGTGTGGCTGCTTTAATTGTGAATTTCCAGACTTGGATTCCTTTGCAGGGTAACCTTAACTCTCAATTTTGGGGCAGTGCTTGGTGGTAGGATGATTATAACACCCCTGGAATACTTTTACTATTAAATTAGGGATAAAATATACACTCCCCTTCACATAGATTTTTGTCTGGGCATCACTATGCAGGGCCAGATAATCAACATGTGAAATCAGCTCTGAAGACTATGGTGGCATTTCAGCTAGGGTGACCAGATGTCCCTATTTTATAGGGACAGTCCTGATTTTGGGGTCTTTTTCTTATATAGGCTCCTATTACCCGCCACCCCCTGTCCCGATTTTTCACACTGGCTGTCTGGTCACTCCAGTTTCAGCTGATTTGCACCAGCTGGGGGTCCGGGTTTAGGTTCCTCTAGCCCATTGTTTCCCAAACTGGGGCTCGTGAACCCCTGGGAGTTCACGAAATGTTACAGGGGGTTCTCGGGGGAAAAAAATCCCTAATGGCGGACAGAGCTGTCCCTAGGGACCCCGGGCAGCACAGGGCCAGCAGTCCAGAGCCCCCTGGACTTCCAAGAGCTAAGCAGATCAAAGCAAGCATCTCTATCACTGAGGAGATTTCAACTTCAAGACTCCTTATCAGAAATGGAAAGGGAGGGGGATATGTTTTGCTGTTTTAAAATTAAATAGGCAGCTAGTGGTGTTTTTTAAATTATCATGAAGAACAAGTTTAAGCTTTGTTGTAACGTGTGTTGTTTGCCTGGACTGCTCAAGACCTGAATGCTTGTGTACGAGGAACTCTTTGAATTGACTTCTTAAATACCTTCCTGCTGTTTCACATCTGATACTCCTTGATGAAACCGAAGAGCCTTGTCTTATAACAGGCTTAATCAAAGTGATACAAGCTACGAAAGCGAGATGTTGGAAGAGTGTTGCCATTTTCATAATGTAATAAAAATATTGTAATGATGAATAATAAGTATCAATAGTGTGTAATAAGCATGGCGTAAGAACAAATGTTATATTTCCAAGATCTCTGCTTTTATAATCTATACTCGGGTAAAGGAGAAAATCCTGGGAAATTTTCATTTTTAGAAGGGGGTTTGCGAGACTTGACATTTTAGTGAAAGGCGTTTGCGGGTTGTTAAAGTTTGGGAACCACTGACCTAGCCCATAGGAGAAGGTCAGCGAAATGCTTTGACTTGCTTCTGGACTGGTCTCGGAACTCTTCCAAACCAGCAACAGTCTAAGGGCCAGATTGGCCCTGGTGTAAATCGCGGTAAATCAGGGCTTTGCTGATTCATAGCAGCTGAGCATCTGGCC